CTAGCATTGCACGACAGAAAGATGAATGGTGAAATCCACGCTGACTTAGGTGTTTAAGGATGACATTAAATAGCAAATAAAAAGCACTGTGATGATCAAGAGAGACAGGGGAAGGTAGGAAAAGGCTTTCTGCTTTATCACTTTCTTCCTGCTTTTTGAATAAGGGGCACCATTGTTCCCCTTTGCATTGGGTCCCACAAATTATGCAGTTGACTCTGGGGTAAACATGTGGTGTTCATTATATTCAGATCTTGAAATAAATAAAAATGAAGTTGTCTGATCTTTGTAAATCTATACATGTGGGTATGTGAGTGTGTGTATTATGTATGTGTGTGTACACATCCATATTCTCGTGCATGGTCACAGATTTCTTAGTGCAGAAAGTCCCAGGTGCAGTGACCCCAGAAGCCAGGTTTTGGTCTTGAAATACCCGTCTCCACTAAAGCCAAGAACTTTAGGAGCATTCACTGGTATGGGGCAGGGAAATTACAATAGGAGTCTCCAACATTGTTGTGCAAGGAATCAGTGATGGGACAAGTTAAAAGGACAGGGAAGGCAGCTTGAAAATGGTCCTTGCTGACTGAATCTGAAGCCATCTGCAGATCAAAAGAATTGAATAAAATAGCAGCTCCATGCTGATATACATGAGGGAATAATTTGAAAGTTTGGTGATAAGCATGATAGCCGCCTCATAAAAGCCTTGTTGGTTTCAAAGCAGAGGGACTGTGTTCAGGACACATAAGACTGCCAGGAGGTCAAAGTTCATGTCAGTTAACCAGTAATAAGATAGACTGAAACCGCCTGATCCAATGCAGTAAGAAGACCACATAACACGCAGGTGAAATTCCTGCCAAAGATGCATAAATTGAACCTAATATAAGGTCACTACACAATCTCATGTTGGGGAGCAATCTGCAAAACAGCACCTGTAATCTAAAGTATCAAGGTCACGGAAGACAAGGAGAAATGGTGGCAATCCCCAGTTTGGAGGATATTAGGAGATATGATAACGAAACACAGGGGTGATTCTGGACTGGATCCTTTTGGTTTGAGGTCATTATTGGGATGAGTGAAATTTACATGGGGCCTGAGGATGACGGGACAGTCAGACATCAGAGCTGGTTTCCTGGCTTTGAAGGCTGTGTTGGGGGGGGGGGAAGTAGGGGGGCGGGGAGAGAGGAAAAGGGGAGTTAGGGGGGCGGCTATGCAGAAGGTCCTTGTTTGCAAGAGACACTAATGAGGTATTCAGCAGTGAGCGAGGGGGCATCACCGTGGCAGTTTGCTCTTATAAGATTCTGAAACAACAAAAGTTCTACTATAATTGCAACTTTTATGTAAATTAGAAACTGGTTTAAAACAAAAAGAATTTAAAAGTATAAAAATGAAAAAAAAAAAACCTGTTCTCAAATGAACAAAATAAGAAAGGTCCAGGTAACATGTGCCTGGCGTGGCAAGGGGGGTGGGGGTGGGGTGGGGGTGTACTTTAAAATTGTCCAATCCTGCCTTTACACAAAAGCTACTTTTATTGATAGCAGAGTGGCTGCCAGGGAGAAAAGCATGGAAATACTACCACCTAGTGGTTTGGGAGCAAATATATTTTAGGAGGGGAAAAAGATAATTTCAAGGTTCACTGAAGTAGGGAAGATTAGAGTTCGTAAGGAGACAGACTTTTATTTTTTTAAGGTAACATGATTTCAGATGTATGTTACTACACTCTACCCAGCACCCCAAAAAACATATTCCTCCCCCAGTCCACTGGGTCCCCACCCTTTTTCCTCCCCACTTAATGGCCTCAATTCTGCAGTGAGATTTCTAAGGTTTTGGTTTGGTTTTATCTGTTCCTTTGCTTTGTTTATACTCCACATGAGGGAAGTCATCTGGTATGTGTCTTTCTCCTTCTGACTTATTTCATTTAGCAAATTCCCCTCCAGTTCCATCCAGGTTGTTGCAAATGGCAAGAGTTCACCTTTTTCACAGCCAAGTAATATTCTATTGTGCATATATGCCAAATCTTCCTAATCCACCCGTCTGTCCTTGGGAATTTAGGGTTTTCCTCATTTTGCAAATAGTTCTGTAATGAATATAGGGACTAGCTTTTAAACATTATTGGAGAGCAAGGGAATATGGCGTCCTTTAACCTTGGGTCTGCTTAAGGATTAACTTTGAAACTCAGGGTTTCAGATGGGCCCCAAGACACACCCTAGAGCGGGAGTTTAGAAGAGATAAATTTACGGGACACAGTAAAGACATAATAATTTTCCTTTCTTCTCCTCACTTCACCTGACAGCTTTGGAGAAGATGAAATCTCTAAGAAAGGAAATAAATGGGAGAATGGGGGCCCCCAAAATAGGATACCAACTCATGACCCAAGTCGAGAAAGGAATGCTAAGGAGGTGGCAGCCAACCAGAGAGACTCTGTAGGAATCCGAAGGGGAAGCTCCCTCCAGGGAGTAAGGCTGGGTGTCAGCATTTACCCTCCTGGCCTCACAGCCTCCGAGGGAGCAGCTCATCAATCACAGGCAGAAGTTCTGTCAGAGATGCTCCCTGTGGTGGGAAGAACCTTCGCCCAAGCTGAAATTACTTGTTAATTTTTTTTAAACTCCATTTCTACAAAAGTAAACATTCATCCTTTATGATCCACCTTGGTATATACCCCCTTATAAGCTGCCAACCTCTACACACACACACTATACAGAGATGTGTACAGCAGTTATAATTACCAAAACAACCAAGTTAGCAAGCAACCAAGTTAGTAGGTGGGCTGATAAAGTGTGGTCCATCTAGGTGATGGAATATTATTTAGCAGTAAGAATGAATGAGCTATGGAGACATGAAAAGACATGCAGGAAACTTAAATGTATCTTACTCAGTGAAAGCAGCTCCCTGGGCCTCCCTGGTGGTACAGGGGCTAAATTCTCAGCGCTAACAAGCTATCACCAGCCACTGTAGAATGAGTTCAATCCCCAGGCAAGGAGCTGACCCATATGGTGCAGCAGACCTCTCCTGTCTTGCCTGCTGCTTCCCTCAGCAGCTGCTCCTTTCATGTCAGTGGATCTGCCTGTTCTGCTCCCCACTCTGTCTCTGGAAATAACAAAAAAAAAAAAAAAAAAAACGGCCTTCCCCTGCCAGGTACTTCCTGTGAAAATACAGGCACTGCCAGGAACCGCTGCTGCCTCTGAAATCCTTAATGCTGATGGAGATGAGACTGATGGTACTGAGACTTGTTTGGGTTTTTTCCTCCTGACAACTTCCATGAGTCCCTATGAAAAATGGAAATTGAGCACTGCCCACCAGCAAGTAGTTTACTGATTGCAGAACCCTCATTTAAAGATACAAATTGAAGTGGAGGAAGTCATCTGGTGTTTGCCTTTCTCCTTGTTTTATTTCACTTAGCAAATTCCCCTCAAGTTCCATTCAGTTTGTTGCAAATAGCAAAAGTTCACCTTTTTCATAGCCAAGTAATATTCTAGTGTGCATATAAGCCATGTATTCCTAACCCACACATCTGTCCTTGGGTATTTAGGGCTTTTTCAAGATTTAGCTACTACAAATAGTGCTGTGATGAATATAAGGACTAGTTTTTAAAGGATACTGAAGAATGAGGGGATCTAGGAACCTTTAATCTTGGGTCTGCTTAAAGATTAACTCGAGACTCAGGATTTCAGATGAGCCTTTAAAAAATATTCTAATATGGGCCTAGTATTGTGTGCTCCATATAAAGGACCCAAAAACCAACCAGAGCCTCTGCTCTGGCCTCCCTGGGGCTCATGTTTTGGTGGGAGCAGAGACAAGCAAGAAGTTAACATGACTTTGAGCACGAGCTACAATGGGGCACGTGGTTGTGGTGAAGAACTGAATGACAGGCCTGGAGCAAACAGCGAACACCAACCACTCTCTCCCCTTCACAAGCTGAGATGAGATATCTTTAAAGGAATGTTCTGCAAGGTTCTTGACAGACGCATCATGGAGGGCAGACAGCACGGCTCTCACCACAGGGGTACTAATGTTCTTTCCCAAGAATATTATAGTAGTTGTCCAGGTAAGTTGGATTTAGTCAGTTCATTCTTTCCAAAGACTGAATAAAATGTCACCAGAACTTCACGTAAGATACACCTTGTGAAGAGTATGACTACTTTTCTTCCCAGAGTTAAGGCAATAGTCTCTATGGTTAATGTTCTAAGATGTTATAGCTTTGTAATTTAGCACACAAAATATCAGATGATATCACTACAGATGTGATGGAATTTGGGCTTATTTTTAAGATTTATGCATACAAGAACCAGGGTCTAGGCCAGAAGTGTGGGGGGAGGAGGGGTGATGGTGAGTGGATTCACCAGAGAGTGGGGAGCAGATCAGGAGGATCTACTAAAATACACTGCTACACTACTGAGAGTGGAGGGCGAGGTAGGAGAGGTCTGCTGCACCGTGTGCAGCAGGTCAGCTCCCTGGCAGGGGATCGAACTCATGCAGCAGTGGCCAGGGATAGCTTGATAGCGCGGAGACTTTAATCCCTGCTACCAGGGAGACCCCCGGGGAAATTGGGTTTTAAGGGCAAAGCTTCAACTACTTGTCATTACCTTTCCCACAAAAAAGCAATAAAATGAAGCATTACAGGATTCTTAATGTTCTGACATAATCAGGACGTAATCCTGTCCTTTGATGGTGGGATAGACCCTTTTATTATCAAAAACACCACACTAAAAACAGGAAAATAAACGTTTCCTTCCTGAATTGAAAACTACGGACTTTACTGGGTCTCCAGAGTATGCCAAGCAGGTAGGCCAGGCCCCTATCCCAGAGACAGAGCATTGGACCAGATTGAAAATGAGACTATAATTTAGAAAACACTGACCTAACACAGAGTCCCCAAGCCCCAATCAAAACAGGAAAGGAAATTTGTATTTAGAACTAGCCTTAGATATGACCCACAACACGTAGTAATCTTAACCTCAAGATTTCCTAAGGTACTCAACAGAAATTCAAATCAAAGATCATGAACTTGAGGTATACAAGGAAGCTGTCATTTCTCAACATCAAAGTTTAATTATTGCACAACAGTTCAAGCAACAGCTACCACTTCCCATACAGGATGTTGGCGTTGTTCCAGCAAAGCATGAGTCACAGGTGGTGTCTGAGCGCAGCTATGGTGACAGCAGGCACGCGGGCCGGGCCACAGAATCCTTGGGTGGCTGACCCTTGTTTGCTTCAGAAGGAATTGTTGTTTCAATTTGTCCATCTCTTTTCAACTGCGAGAAACAGGGCTAAGCAGACTCGTAAAGACTCATTTTCTGCTGGATTGATCCAAGTCTATAATTACCTCAGTTGCTTAAAATCTATCCAACAGGGAGGGAAAAAAAACCTTATTGAAAAACCTTATCCCTCCTCCTCTCAAGATGAAGATAAAGCAAAAACAGAGCTCCATAGAAATTTCAACACTGAATTTTTTTGAAATGTTAAAGCTTAGGAAGGGCGAGAAAGCTTGTACAAGGCAGCAGGTTCTGCATGCCTGCTGGCTCAGCACAAACCAGGGTCTAGCAGACCACTGTATTCTAGTCTGTCTTTCAAACCAGGGTCTAGCAGACCGCTGTATTCTAGTCTGTCTTTCAAAAAGGCCCAACTTTTCTTGATGGTCTGTTTGAGCAGTTCACTGCCTGTGGGTGTGCATACATGTTTACACACACACACGTGCAACAGCAATCCTGACTCCCATCTGCACGCCATCGGTCCCTTTGCTATGGTAAATAAACGACAGCAATCAAGTCTAAACACTTTTCTAATTGTATTTTAAAAGTACCTTCAATTTTTTTAAATTTCAGTCTTCAATATTGAAACTGCTAAGTCACTCCATTTTTCCATTGTGGGGGGGGGAGGAAACCAGGAAAAGTTAGGGGAAATTTTTTTAAGATTTTATTTTTGCATAGAAGAACTGGGGCATAGGCCAGTGGTATGGGGTTGGGGGTTGTGAGAGGATTCACCAGAGACAGAAGGGGAGCAGGACAGGCGGATGGATTGACTGAAACACACTGTTGAGGGGAGCAGCAGGCGAGACAGGAGAGGTCTGCTGCACCATGTGGGTCACCCACCTGGCTGGGGATCTAACTTAGGCCATTGAGGTGATAGGGCTGAGACTTAACCCCTAGGCCACCAGGGAGGACCCAGGGGAAAGTATTTAAAATCTTCAAAAACTAAACAATCTGATGTTCTGTGTTACTGTACTAATAGTTTTTCCTTTACTGGAAAAACTAAACAATATGAACTTTCTGTAGTGACTGTACCACTTAAAAAACAAAAGGAAATCATCAGTAAGAATGGAATAACTCACAACTAAGCCTGAAAATACATGTTCCTGAGACACACTGCTGACCTCATCCAAAAATCAAGTTGCTTCTGTTTGGAAGGTGGCTTCAAGAAGGTGCATGCAGCTCTCTCGAGGGAGGGAGGTCATGAAAAGGAAGGAAAGAAGAGGGGCAGGGCCCAATCAGATCAGTCTGTGGCCCCATCCTAATCACTGAGTTTCCCAATCTGACTCTGATTTGTTTGTTTTAAGCACTTACGTAACACATATTTCTATGTTAGCAGACAAACTTTCACATGAAATGTTGCACAGGTCTTTAGAGTCCTCCTTGCAGAAAAATTCAGATGCACAACTATTTCCTTCTCATAATAAAGCAATTCTCATTTAGCAATTAAGTTATATATACATTTAAAAAAAATGGTCAGTGGAACCTTGTGTGACATGTAACCTTAATTAACTACCCAGTGATCACTACCAGAGGTGATTCTAGACAGGGGACAACTTAAAAATAGAGCATTTTCACAATAGAAAACTGAATATTCCCATTGGGAGGTAAATATGATATTTTATTGTCAAACAACATGGGCCAAAGACCAGATTTTCAATAAGTGCAATAAAACAGGTTTAGAAAGGTTACTCTAGAGGCCCCAAGAGTATAGCAATGGTATTTTTTAATGGTTTTGTGACAATTATAACTTCCCAGCTATTTTAGGTCTCAAAAGAAAATGTTCAATCAAAAGACTAAAATCATTCAAAGCATTTAATATTTCTAAATAATTGTCTGATAACAAAATTTTAATACAAGAAATTATTCATAGCATTAAATTATATTTATTAAATATCGGAATAAGCCACATTAAGAAATATTACAACAAAGCAACTTACTGGGACATGGTGGTATTCTATGCTACTGCAAAAGTACGTGAAGAGCTACTGTACTCAGTTTGAGGGTCAGGTTTTACTTTTTGCAAGCCTTGTATCTTTCAGTTACATTCTCCCAGTTGATTACATTCCAAATAGCTTTCAGGTAATCAGGTCTGACATTTTTATACTGAAGGTAATAAGCATGTTCCCATACATCAATCCCCAGCAATGGAATAAGACCTATTGGAAAGAAGGTGGGGGGGGGGTAGGAAAAACTATTAATTTCAACCTAAAACACTACATTTTCTCAATTTCAACTTTGATCATCATATGCACCTTGCCAACATTCTCACCCATTTTTCAGTTTCTTATATAAACAGAAAACCTGCATAAGAGTGAATACCCTATAAAAAGATTTAAACTTTGCTCTTTAGAAGAAAATATAATAAATAGTAAAAATCATTAAACAAGGAAAAAATCAATTAACTACAGCAGTATGTGAATAGCTATTTTTACAATACCAAGAATCATCCAAGTGTCCATTCTCAGTTCCCCTGGCCTCAGTGTACTGTTTGTGGGGGTGGTTGAGACCTTCCAAAGGCCCTGAATGGGGGGCGGGGGGGTGTTGAGAAGCCTGTTCTGTTCCCCCAAGGCCAATGTTAATCTTACACAATACAAAGCATTTATAACACTAACAGAATAATTTAACAAGGAAAACTGAATTCAGGGCTAGAGAAGACACTATTTTCAGAGGTAAACAGTGTCAATGAAGAATTAGTTCTAGCTTATAAAAATCATTCATTTTGAAAAATTCAAAATCATTCATTTTGTAGCATATGTCTCGAGCAGTTATGAGACACGCCACTAGTAATTTAGTAATCCTTCAGGTGGTGAAGTTTATAAATGTTTTTCCTCATAAATAACTGCCATGACTTCCACTTGTCTTCACCGCGGTGGGTTTCCCTCCCGTGGGAGTGGAGGAGCAACTGGGTGTCATGGAAACCAGCCTATGGCCAGGTACATTCAGATACACCCGACTCACAGCCACCAGGGTTCCCAAATCTGTTGCTCTTCCAAACCCAGTGGCATCTCACTTTTCCAAAAAAGCTTGGATTCTGGCAAATTCTGAGTTTTGTGAGGGAAGTAGGTCATGTAAACACACGGTAGAAAAATTGGCTGAGAACTACGCTGTTGAAGGGAAGCTGTCACTTTAGGATCATGGCATCAAAAATAACCTGCCAGCGAACCCCTGGGTGACTCCTGAATGCCTCCTAAAGAGCGGCTTACTCTGCCTGGCTCCACAGAAGAAAAGTGCAGCACCCTGCCTGGAGCTCCTAACCAAATACTTTCATGTATTAATTCCTCCACCACCCCACCCCACCCCACCCCCGCCCCCCGCCCCAGAAAAAAAGAGTCTAGAAGCCTGAGCTCAAACCTGAGTCCCACTAGGACTCAGGCTAACAGAGGGGTGAGAGTCCAGGGTCTGAAGCCAGACTCAGGTTCTCTGCCTTTTCCTCATACTTGTTTAATTTTGGTTTATTTTAAGGCATATAATTATGTGAACTAATGTGAAGTCTGCCAAATGAAGCAGAGTTTAAGATTAAACTTTTTGTTAATGTAGCTGCAAAGTTACAAATTTTACAAAGTATCAAGGATTCAATGCCCTGCTGCTGACACCCTATGGGTATCATGTTAGTATTTGTTCAAGTTAGCTGAGAATAGTTGACTGCTTGTTTTCCTTAGTTCAAGGTAAATGCTGTAACATTGAACCTTCTCTCCCCAGTGAATGTAACAATTCTCAAATCCAACCTGTTGTTCCTTGCAGGGGGTCCTGGTTAGAACAAGCAGCAATCTGTAAGCGGCCCTGTTCCTTATTGAAACCAAGCCAGCCCCAGCCTGAGCCTTGCACACCAACGGATACAGCAGTCAACTTCTCCTTAAATTTGTCAAAGGAACCAAAGTCTCGCTTGATGGCTTCTAGCAATTCCCCTGTTAAAAAGAAAAAAAAATCCACAAATACCATTAAAATACTTTATTACACATTAGGAATTCCTGTCATGTGATCTAAGATACAACCAGACATCACCCAGGAGTCACAATATGCCCACAGCCTGGTGGCGAGTTGACCTGCCTGACCTGCTGTGAGGTCTGCTTCAATTCACGTCTGTTACTGAGTGTGTTGGTGGGGTTTCTTCCTTCAATGCAATATTTCCATCAAGAAAAAAATTTTCCATTCCCCCCCCCCTAAATTTTACTTTGACTTCTACCTATGTGTCTCAATTTGGGAATAAAATATTATGTGTACTATCTGGTCTTCTCCAAGGCAGCCATGATCTTGCCTATCTCAATTACATCACCTTTTTTAAAGATTTATTTATATATACATACAAGAACTGGAGTACAGGCCAGAATTGTGGGGGGGGGGGGCGGGCAAAGGATTCACCAGAGATAGCGGGGAACAGAACAGGCAGACTGACTGAAATATACTGCTAGGGGAGCAGTGCGTGAGTCAGGAGAGGTTTGCTGTGCCATGTGGGTAGCTCCCTGGCCTGGCTGGGGATCAAACTCATGCTGCAGTGGCCGCAAACAGCTTCATGGGTTGCATCTTAACCCCTTGCGCCACCAGGGAGACCCACAATTACATCATTTTTAAGAGTGAATTTCTTTTCTACTTCTGAAAAAAGGATACACTTTCAGAACTAGATTCCTTTATTCTGCGTAGTAAGTTAATTTTAGGTTGAGCTATCAATTAAGCCAAAAATATCAGTTCTCTGCTTCTACAGGTTTAAAAACAATTAGCTAGCATCCCCACGATGACAGAATAGAGTGGTACGAAGAACACAAAATGGTAGAGTGCCAAAACCCGCTAGCTGAATATGAGGGAAGCTGATTTCCTGGTAACTCCCAAAACCTCACAAGTACTGAGTTATGATCTGAAAAACTAAGTCAGAAAAAATTAACTGCCCAGCTTCCACACTCATTCCCCATTCCCCTTTACTTCCAAACAAACTTGTTTATACCAAGTGCACAGGCTAAGGTGCTTTCTCTAACACCACTAGACATAAAAATCACAAAAGCTTAAGGTCCGGGCCAGAAGCCCAGAACTAGGGAGCAGAGGGGATTTATCGTCTTCCCTGGGGCAAGGACAGTAAATGAAGTTGTCTGAGCCACCAGGAGCTGCACAGGGCAGTAAACCAGGCCAGCAGCTCCTGGCTCCCGGCATCACCTGCAGCTCTCCTGGGAAGGGCCGTTTGAAGCGTAGTAAAGTAACAGCAAATTGCACTATTCTAGGCACTTTTCATGAAACTTATTTAATTTTCAAAACAGGCCTTCCTCTAAACAAGGAAGAAAGTAAGGAACAGAATGACTGAGCATCTTACCCACGGCTAGCCAAATGAAAGCTCCCTTCTGAAACTGGTTCTCAGTCTTTCCCTTACAATACACTTCAACCAAAAGTTACACTTTATGTGATCATGCCCATAAGTGTGTGTATAAAATCTGGTTCTAAGTAGTTTCATTGTAAGTTCGTTGTATAAGCATTTCACCAAAAGCATTCTGACCCATAAATAACTGGCACAAGGTACTCTGCTATGAAGGCTAAAGTAACTGGGTGATGGTTTCAGGTTTGGTTTCAACTAACACAATGCTCCTCCCATTACATAAATCTAAAGCTAACTTATCAGTTTGCAAATCCCTCGATGCAGTGTCACCCTCCCTCCATCCAAACCAAAAGTTCACCAGGCTACGGCAAATACAAAGCAGGCAGCTAGAAATCATTAGTCTTCAAAAATGACAATCAATTGTTTAGCTAACTTATCTACAAGAGCTGTTCTCTGTTGTTGTCTTAACCAAATTTATCACACAACACTTGAAGGTGGAGGCAAAAAAGGATTCTTCCTTCCACCTGCCCCCACCCCCAGCAAAAATCAACTCCTACTGAGGTTGTTTCCAAATACTAGGATGCACATTAGAAACGGAATTTTGAATAGCTGTGTGACATTTTCCACACTACCGTTTGCTCCTGTCACCATGTCACATGCCCACTGACAGATTCCAAAGTTCGATGGGGACTATGTAGGTCCAGTTCTATACCCTCAAAGCTCTTGGTCTCGCCTCCAAAAGAATGTCTTTCAAAAGAAGAAATCAACTCTCGGGGCAAATTGTCACGAACTAGGAGAAACTTGCAACCAAAGCTGACCAGACTGTCAAACCCATCAACCAGTGGGTTTATCTTTCATGGCACAACAGTTATGCTGCAAAAAGGTTGTGACAGAGTATTTATGGCAAATACTGTAAAATCCGGTGCTGTAACTTCCTGAATGTGTTCATTCTTACCTAAGCCCTGTTGAAAGTTACAACTCTGTTGCACTCCTTGCTATGAAAAGCAGGACAATGTGACAGTTCAAGGTAACAAAAAAATCAATAATCACACCTACTGCGCCCTTAATGTAACTGCAGCACAGCAATATATACTGACCTTTGGGTTCTCCTCCACCATTAGGGCTCAGGTTTGTCCAGAAAATGGTGTGATTGATATGACCTCCACCATTGAACCTCAGTGCAGGCTGAAGAGCTACCTGAGTTGTCACGTCACCTGAAATGTTAACAAGTAAACACATTTTGTAAAATTCTTACTTTCAACCACCCTGTACACTATTTTCTCCCTTCTTAAAATGTCAGATAATTGAGCCAGCTTATCTTAACATCCCTGATGGTACTAAAATTCCCCAATTTCAGGATTCTACCAAAACTGTAACCCTCAAAATCATCTGTTCAGTGGATTTTCAGTTCAATTAATAATGTGATAATTTAGTGAGGCCCAGTAGTGGGGTGGGGAGTGGTCACAAAGATGGTAGAAAACTCACTTCTGACCATCAAGGAATTCAAAGTTTTCTTGGATAGAAAAGATTTCAGCAAATAAGAGCTCAAAGACAGAAAACTGTGGGATGTTACAATTTATGGTCCAAATATAGACTATAGAAAATTTGCCACTCTCATTTCTAAACAACTAATCTTTGGAGAGTATTTTAATGTTCCATGAACAAGAAAGTCAACATACTCAAAATGGAACTTCTGATTTTCAACCCCAAACTCACTTGCCCTGTGGCTTCCCTGCCTCCATTAAGTGCCAGCCCTTTCTCAGGCCACACTTGTGAACAAGAAGTTGTTCTGACTCCTTTCCTCTCACACTCCACTTTCAACCCACAGCAGAGCCAGCCGTGCCTTCAGGACACAGCCAGCATCCTATACCTCGCCCCCAACCTGTGCATGCGGAGGCAACCCCCACTGGCCTTGGCGCCTGGTCTCTAACTGGTCTCCTGCTCCCAACAGAGGATTCCTCTAGACCCAAACCCATCCTGGAACTACTCAAGCCCACAAAAGGCTGTTTTTTTTTTTTCACGCAGTTAACCCAAATCCTTACAATGGGCTAAAAGGCTGTCATCCAGCCCTCTGCATCCCACGCTCCCAGCTGCTGCCACACTGTCTGGCACCAACAAGGAAACTCAGCCCCTCCCAGCTTAGAAGTTTTTGTCCTTGGCTTTCCTGATGAGACTACAACCCGGCCCATGACATACGGACTTGTCCATCTAGAATGAAAGCTTCATGAGAACAAGGACTCATGGGCACTGCTGTGTTCCAGTGCCAGACACACTGCCTTGTTAACAGGACAGGCACTCAACAAAATTTGTTCATTGACTTAATCAGTAACTGAATGTACAGAATGCTGCCTCTAAGGAAAAAAAAATCTAAGAATGTACACAATGGTGCTTCTAATCAAAGAAATATAGAGTGGTCTATACTTCAGAAAAAAAAAAAGAAGTCATGCTGGAGGACATGAACTTACCTAGCTAAACAGGTGACATAATAACTCCAAGAAGCTTAATAGCTCAGATTAGCTAAACTATTATGAAAAAATGGGAATTCCCTTGTTCAGTAAATATTGAGTGCTTGTGAGTCACAAAACACCAAGAGGTAAACTGAAGGACACAAAGAAGCTGACCTCAGTGAACTTACATAACGGAAAAAGGTCCCTTTCTCTTTCTCTAGGCTCACACTAGGAACAAATGTAAAAAATGTTGCCATTTCAACAAAGCCAACCCCCCCCCTCCAGCCTTAGCATATCAGAAAGGAGAGGACCAAATGATATCTGAATACCTAGATGATCTTTTAGAGTTCTTAATATAACAACTTTTTGTTGCTATATTTACAAAGTAACTCTCTTACAGTTCAGTAGTTCACTCATTAACTTATCTTGGAAAATCAACAAAAAATAAATGAAGCCTTTTTTTTTCCTAATAAATCAACAGTAACAATTTTTTAATGGCAAAGACACATGCTTGTTGACTGTTTAACAATCTCAACCTCTTCAAGTCTACTTAACAGTTAGAAAATTTTAAAAGAAAGTTGGGGTTTAATGCCTGAACACTTTCCTGACACCATTTTCTTCAGTTTCATTCCGCTATTACTCATTTTTATTTGAAAATTGTTATTTACATGGGATGAGACTGACCGTGTTATTATTTTATTTATGCTTTTCTCCCAAATTTTGAAACATGAAAATTATCTCTAATAATTTTTAAAATATAATTTTTGAGTAAGAAAAAGATCTGCAGCACTTATTACAATATTGTGCACTATAAAGCTAAGGCTTTTCCCCCCACTGACTTTCATTAAGCAAGCAATACTTTGATTCCACAAGAAAAGGCCAGAAATTAAGTTTGTGGTTCTTTTCCTTTTTGGAAATTGTTAAGGTTGTTTTTAATATTAACAAGAAAGGTTAGGGAGCATCAGCTGTTATCACAGGAAATACTTTCACAGCTGAGACTGTCTCACCATTACCACAGCCTTCACACATTTGCTATTTCCTAAATCACAGAACTTTTCCTGCAATGGAGGCTCCTGATTGTCACAACCAAATCTGCGGAATGGGGTAACTTCCTCTCGTTTTGTTCATGACCTCCTGCACAAGCAGGGGCCACACTCCATTGTCCCACTAGCTGCCCCCAGTCAAGACGCCACTGGCGAAAATCCGCTCAAGGAATGTCAGAGGACTGCTGTGCAATCAAGGCATACTTAAGGTAAAAACACATCTTTTAACCGTGCGGCCTCTTGAGCAATTCCTAGTGTGGAACCACCAATGTCTGCGGGTTCCTCCTGCAAGCCCGGCTGACAGACCGCAAGTGCGCACAGTCCACGCGCTCCCGGTTTTGTCAACTGAGCTTTGGAAAAAACAAACCCCCCTGAAAATGCAGGTGCATCGACTTGTAGTTTCTGCACATTCGGAAACACCCCCACGCCTGCCTGCCGCCGACACGGGGGCCACCGAGCAGGCGGGGGGGGGGCGACCCTAAGGCCACGAGCGCCGGCGGGTGGGGGGTGGGCGCAGCGGCGGGAGAGCCCGGGCGGCGCTTACCCTTGGCCAGCGCCTCCTGGTACTTCTCCTCCGTGGCGTTCAGGTTGTTGACGTAGGTGGCGTGGTGCTTGCTGTGGTGCAGCAGCATGATCTGCGCGTTGATGTGCGGCTCCAGCGCGCCGTAGTCGTAGGGCAGGTCCGGGAGGCTGTGCTTCTGCCGGGCGCCCGCGGCCCCCAGCGCCGGCACCAGCTTCCGGCTCGCGCTGCGGAGAGGACGCCCCGGCGCGCTCACGCGGGCCCCGCGGCTCCCGGCCCCCGTGGGCCTCCCCCGGCCCGCCCGCCCCCGCCCCCGCCCCCGCCCCCCGGCCGGGCGACCCCCGCCCCGTCCCCGCCGGCCCTCACCTGCACGCCGCCCGGCACAACATGGCGCCCCGCCGGCCTCTGGCCTCGTCGCGCTCCGCCGCCTGCCGAATGTGCCCGAGTCCCCGCCGCGCTGCAAGGGCAGCCCCGCCCCCGCCGGGCCCCGCCCCCTACGCCCGCCGCTCCCAACGCGGGGGGGATGGGGGCCCGAGTCGGTGCCGGCCCGCTGGGTCCCGGCTCGGCGCCCAGGGAACCGAGGGGGGCGCACCCGCGGAGCTGCTCCCGGCGAGTCGCAGGCAGCGCGGTGATCAGTCGCTGCGCGCTGGGTCTGCGGCCGAAGGGACGGTCGCACCCCCCCCGGTGAGAAGTGGTACGCTCCGAATAACCACGCCCCCATGGGGGCGGGGCCCGGCCGAGGCGCGGCTCAGAGCGCAGGCGCGAGCGCTGCCCCGCCCCGCCCCCTGGCCGCGGGCGTGCGTCCTATCTCCGCCCGCGGACCGCGGTTACCGGGACACCCAGGCACCGCCCCCCGCGCTCGGCTTCCCACGCCCCTGCCGTCATGACCTTCTTAGGGACAGAGCTGACCTTGGGGTCTCCGCCAGGCCTGGGACTGCAGGAGTATGTGTGGCTCGGCCCCTGCGGGGTGCCAGGGGCTGCGCTGCGAGCTTTACAGCCCGTTAACCTCATGTCACCCCCAGGGTCGCCGCGACTCCAGACGACAGTCCCCGCGCTCGCCCTCGCGAGGTTAAGCAGAATGCGCGGTAGATAAAGACAAGTCAGGGTGAGGCCCCAAGTTCACACTTTCTTGTTTACTAGGCCTTCCCAACCGGTCTTGAGCGCTTGTTGAATGACTTCCATGAACCAATCGCTGGCCTGCTGGTTGAAAGAAGAACAGCGGGGCCTCTTTCCTAATGTCTCTTTCCTAGTGTTTATCAGTGCCTGGTAAACTGTAAGTACCGAATGCTTCCTCAACAATGAAAAAAATGTCCTGTATTGTGTAGATTCTCCCCATATAGGAATGCTTTGCTCTGATATTGGCCCGGGTGGGGTCTTTATGGGACAGAACAATGAATAAGACCTGTCATTCCTTCCCACCCCCATCCTCACCCCTTACTTCCTTCCCTTCCCAGGATGACCTGACTTTGGGTTGGGGAGTATTGGGAAGAGGTACCTCCGGGCATGACTTCACAACAACAGGGCTGGTCAGCTTTGCTACAGGCAGAGTGAAGGAAATTCAGCTTGGGACCAGGTTACAAGGGTCCTTAAAACTCAAAGCATTTTTGTTGAAGTGAGGCACTTCCTAGCATGAATATTAAGCCACTTTCAGGGTACTAGCTGTGGGAGCTGGAAGAAAGGGGGTATTTTTTTCTAAGATTTATTTATATATGCATACAAGAGCTGGGGTACAGGCCAGAGATTGGAGGGGGTGAGAGGATTCACCAGAGACACACCGGGGAGCAGAACAGGCACTGGCTGAAATATACTGCTGAGGGGAGCAGTGGGCAAGACAGGAGAGGTCTACTGTGCCAAGTGGGTTGCTCCCTGGCCGGCAGGGGATCAAATTCATACTGCAGAGGCTGCGAATTGCTTCACAGTGCCTTGCTTAACCCCTTGCGCCACCAGGGAGGCTGAAAGGGGGTATTTTAAAGGAAGAAAATTCAGAGACAGTAAGAAAAATCTTATCAAGTGAGAACAAAATGTCCTCACACCGAAGAGACTGTGCCCAGGGTAGCATAGATGGATTTCTTGTTTGTCTGTACAGATGATGCCACTTGGAGACTTAGATTTACCCCAGGACCTGACCTTTTGAACAAGCCACAAAAATTAGGGAATGGGGAAATGACAGTGACAACTCAGTGGAAATGTCTCTGTCATCAGCTACATCCTTCCAGAAGTTGGAAGACAGGAGAGTACCCAGACACCAAGAGTTTGGGGGGGTATGGAAAGTAATAAGTTACTAACTTTTTTGTCTGCCACATCTAATAAACAGCCTCAGCTTCTTTTTAGGTGGCCACTGTAAGAAGTACTGGTTCAGGCCTCCCTGGTGGAACAGGGGTAAAAGTCTCAGCGTGATCAAGCTATCACCAGCCACCCTGGCATTGTAACAGGGTGGTCCCCAGGAAGGGGGGAGGTTCCAGGTTTCCGGCCCCACCCAAAGGTCGGTGGAGTAGAGCTGGGAGGAGAAAAAGCTGGAGAGGACACTGGAGAAGAGGAAACAGGATGGAGAGCAAGAAGGAGACCTGGAGGAGACACATGGAGCAGAGAGACATATGAAGAAACTGTGCTTGCCTTTTGGTCCTGTGTTACAGGGCAGGGAGAGGGGCAGCCCAGATCCCGCAAACTTGCCTGCTCTAATTAGTTCTGCCATCCATCGCATCAACACAAAACATATGAGACTTTAATGGAAAGGAACTTTAATACAATTAGGAAACAATACAGGAAAGGCAAAGAATATAGTTTCTAAATCAAGCACCCAAAGTCACCCATGCCCTCATGGGTAAAAGTCCACCCAAGCAGGATTGGCCCAGAGCAAGGCCCCAAAGACTGCCACAAGTCTAAATAAAGCATCTTCCAGTGGGGACCCACAGAAAAGGATCAGAAACAACCACAAAGTTGGGGAGGAAAAGAGCAAAATCAAGTCAAAAACCGCCATTGTCACCTCCCCACGGGTCTCTCACCCACATCTGTGTCACCCAGCCCATGACCAAAAGCAAGCGCAGTTTCTTCACATGTCTCTCGACTCCATGTGCCTCCTCTAGATCTCCTCCTGGCTCTCCATTCTCCTTCCTTCCTTCCTCAGTCTCCTCTGCAGCTTCTTCTCTCCCTGCTCAGCTCCACCCTTCTTTTTGGGTGGGGCAGAGAACCTGGAACCTCCCCCTTTCCTGGGGACCACCCTGTTACAATCCCCCCTTTTATTTTTCTTTTAAAGATTTATTTGTTTATTTTTTTTTAAGATTTATTTATTTTTATACAAGAAGCAGGGTACAGGCCAGATGCATGGGAGGATTCACCAGAGACAGAGCGGCGAACAGAACAGGCAGACTGACGAAATACACTGCTGAGGGAAGCAGCAGGCAAGCCAGGAGAGGTCTGCTTCACCATGTAGGGATTCTTGCCGGCCTGCCAGGATCGAACCGGTGCTGCAGAGGCTGTGGACAGCCTCACAGTGTGGTTGAGCCTCACAGCTCAACCACTTGCGCCACCAGGGAGACCCTATTTGTTTATTTTTATACAAGAATGGGGGTACAGGTCAGATGCGCAGGAGGGTAAGAGGATTCACCAGAGACAGAGCAGGGAACAGAACAGACTGAAGAAATACACTGCTGAGGGAAGCAGCGGGTGCAACAGGAGAGGTCTGCCACGCCATGTGGGACCCTCGCCGGCTAGCCAGCAGGGATCAAACTGGCACTGCAGAGGCTGCGGACAGCGCTCAATCGCCTGTGCAACCAGGGGAGGCCCATAATCCCCCCTTTTAATTTTTAGTCCACCATATCTACAGTGGCACAGATCTCAGGGTGTAGTCTTAGGAGACAGTCTTTTTTCAGGGTTACAATGTATGTAAGAGAAGCAACCATTAGTCAGTAGCATTGTCCATGAATGTCCAGTATGACAGTTTTCCATTCTGGAAAACTCCAAGCCAAAAGAAAAAAAAAAATCTGGAGGCATTAGCTGAAACAAGACAGCAAATATATCAAAATCACAGGGAAAAAAATCTTAAAATTGGTTCAACTTATGTAAAAAACAATTTCTCTCAACCTTGATCCAAATGGTTTCAACAGCATAGCAAAAGTTCCCAAACTAAATCTACTTTTAAACCATATTACCCATTTTTACATAAAATCACAGGGCAGAATAACTAAACAGCAATTTTAGCTGGCTTTGTTGGAATACTACATATAGGATCAGAGCGAACTCTTGACATCCGGTGCACAGAGGCTTCAAGAACAAAGTTGGTCTCAGACTCCACCTGGGCTTCCTCTTCCCGAGGGTATCAGCGTTTTTTCGTTTTTGGGTTGTCCAGTCCTGCCAATGGAGGCAGCTTCCTCACCTTCTTTGGAGGTCTCTGGAACCCTACGAACAAAGCAGCAGGTTCTCCTCTTGTTGGTTCAGCACTGTTTCAACTTCCTGGAAGATGCTACTCAAAGCCACACAATGAAACTCATGTCTAATTTTTTTAGTTTAAGCAGACAAAATCCCTATGGGAGTTATGCAAAAACAGACTTTAAGTAGTAAAAGATTACTGCCACTATTTTTATGCTGCATTGGTATCAAAGGGAGAGAAAATGCAAACACAAGTTAGCTTTGCTGGGAAAAAAACCACAACCTTGCTGCAGATCCTGGTCACTCAAAATAAGAAAACTTTGTAGATTCGGAACAAAATGCCAAAAACATTACCAATATTATGTCAAAGAAAACTTAGTGTGTGTCTCCGACAGTATTTTCAGTCCTTTGTAGGAATTTTTTGTTCTTTTTTTAACCCATCAAAAGTTCCGTCAATAGATATCTGTTGAGGCCTTTCGCCCCTATTTTCTCCAGAAATAACTTCTGTAGATATCAAACAATTGAAGTATAAAGTATGACAAGGTGACAATAACCACTGACAATTTACACACATATCAGGGACTGAGAGGTTGTATACACATTTTAGAAAACCAATATGAACATTTCTGTACATGTCAAAGTTTCCCCATTTTCCCAAGTGACAAGGCTTCCCTTCTCGTTTCACTCTCCTAGGGAAGCCAAATAGGACAAATTCATCTGATGCCTTTCCCAGGAGGAAAGGGAGAAACTCTGAGGAGTGTCTCAGGAGCTCTACTGAGGTTCTGCAAAATATCCTTGTATCAACCAAATGACAGGCTACCAAATTTTTACTTGAATTTAGTTTTCTGCCATTTTTAATGGCCAATAAGTTTAGAAATTTTCCAACCAACCTGGCAAGCTTCCTTTACAGCTGACTAGAAAGTTCAAAGTAATTTTGACAAAACCAACTGAGCCTGATCTCAGAAGTCCGCGAGTGTGATCAGAAGAGGCCAGAGAATTTAGAGGAAGAAAAGGCCTCCTTCAAGTGGAGAACACTCTCTTCAGCTCACTTGACATCCCATTTTCACAGTGACTGGGAGACACTGAATGAGCTGTCTGACTAAACACATAAAAATAAGAAAAATACCAAATTTTTAAATAACCAAGACCTGATTCCAGATACTTGTTTGAATTCCTTACACAGGCACAAGGTTCAGATTCAGAGGTATTTGCACAAAGATAGGACCAAGTAAGGGAAGTAGAAGCCCCACTCCAGGCCCACTGCTCTCATGGGGACAACCCAGTCCTTCCAGCCACCTGCCATTGTCCAACAAGTCAGGGTTATCCCAGGTTGCCCACAGCCAAAGCGCCTGAGCTTACCCTGGATGTCAGGGGGAGAGTGTAGAAGAGGATCCTCACAAGGAACTCAGGCCTGAGCCAGCCAGCGTGGAAAAGAAGTGCTCACTACCTGGCTCTTGTGTTAGAAAAGCATCTGTCTGTTCCCCACTGTCAGCTGCTCCTGGGCTCCTGCAGGGAAACAGTGACAGGAGCTGCTTCCTAGACATGGGTTGGTAACTACAGGTCCCCAACTCAGTTAATAGCCAAGAGGCTTTCAGATGAAACAAATACAGCACACCTCTCACCATTTTCACCACATCCCCGGCTTCCAAAAACGAACAGGAAACTCCAAATACCAGACACCCAAGGAAAACACCCAATGTTTCCCAATTCCCACTCATCCAGGCCTGACACACCAACGGAGCCCCAAACTGAGGGAGACTCACAGACTCCCTCCCTGACTGGAATGCTGATTCTGTTACAAGGCAGGGAGAGGGGCAGCCCAAACCCCGCAAACCTGCCTATTCTATGTAGGGTTCTGCCATCCGCCGCATCAACACAAAACATAGGAGACTTTAATGGGAAGGAACTTTAATAAAACTAGGAAACAATACAGGAAAGGCAAAGAGTCTAGTTTCTAAATGAAGCATCCAAAGTTACCCGTCCCCTCGTGGGTAAAAGTCCATCCAAATGGGATTGGCCCAGAGCAAGGCCCCAAAGCCTGCCACGAGTCGCACCTTCCAGTGAGGACCCAGAGAAAAGGGTCTGAAACAACCAGACAAGCCCGGAAGGAAAAGAGCAAAATCAACATCAAGATAAAAGCTGCCATGGTCACCTCCCCACGGGTCTCACCCACATCTGTGTCACCCACCACGACCAAAATGCAAGCACAGTTTCTTCACGTGTCTCTAGGCTCCACGCGCCTCCTCCAGGTCTCCCTCTGGCTCCATCCTGCTTCCTTCTTCCTCAGTCTCCTCTGCAGCTTCTTTGCCTGCTCAGCTCCACCCTCCCTTGGGTGGGGCAGGGAACCTGGAACCTCCCCCTTTCCTGGGGACCACCCTGTTACAATTCCTCCCAAATGTGTGCAGGCAAAGGGCTTGGCGGGGCGTGCACCCCGGGGAGCTGACACCAAAGACCAGGGGCCCGCAGTTTTCCACCTGGGTTCCGTCTCCTCCAAGATGAATCCAGGGGGCAGAGAAGAGCTGGGCCTCTCCCCAGGAGCACTTGGCATGTTCCCTGGAGGAAACACCCCACAGCTGCTGGGACTCTCCCTCAGCCTGGAGAGAGGGCGCTCTCTCTGAGCATGGGGGTCAGGCAGCCACCCGGGATGCCCAGGGGACAGGGTGGCCTGGAGTGCAGCCGCTATGGCCGCGGCGGCGGGCAACTGCTCCATCCCCAGGAAGTCAGAGTGGGGGCTGGCAGAGCCCAAGTGGCATCCAGCTCCTGGCTCTGGCCTGTCCCATTGGTCCTAACGCCGGCCTCAGTTTCCCTCGGCCAACAAAATGTGGTTATTGTCAGGGAAGTTCACAGGGCCTGGGGGGGTGGGGGGAGGTGCCGAAAGTGGCAGGAAAGCTGAAACACCGCCCTGGTTTAGTCCTGGTGACTGGACGACCCGCCATAGAAATGGTAATTTGATTTTCCCCTTGGTGGACACCACCCAGGAAGTCAGCCCCAAGTCTGGGGAAACAAACTGATCAGCAGCCATGAGGGAAATAAATAAATAAATAAATAAATGTACAGACAGGAAATCCAAAGCGTAAGAGTCAAGCAGAAAAGACCCCCACGAGGCCTCCCTGGGGGCGCGGGGGTGAAAGAAAGCGCCATCAAGCTCTGGCCAGCCACTGCAGCAGCACAGGGATCCCCGCCGGCCAGGAGCAGCGCATAAGGGGGCAGCAGACCCCGCCTGTCTCACCCGCTGCTCCCCTCACCAGGGCACCTCAGTAGATCCACCTGTCTGACGGCCTGACCGCCACTCTCTCTGGTGCATCCGCTGCACGCCCCCCCCCCACACCCCAGTGCTTGTATACACAATAAATAACTCTTGGGGAAAAAAGAAAAGCTCCCCCCCACACACACACACACCCCACAGTGCGGCAGGGGCACACCCTAAACCCGTCACGGCTGTGAAAAGGAGGAGCTTGTCGGGAGCAGTTGCCAAAGAGAAGCGTGGATCCGAGGGCAGCAGATGCTCTCCCAGGGGGAGCGGGCGTTGCGGTTGAACTGGGCCGGGGGATTGGATGCCACCTGGGAACCGAGATGATTTATTTGGGGGGCGACGTGCCGGGTCCCTGGAATATTTTGGTTAAATGTAAAGTGGAGGCCTGTGAAGAGACACGCGGGTGCGGCAGGTGAGGTTAACGGGGCTGCGAGGCGGGTTCCGAGAGTGGATGGGGAGCGCCGGAGCTGCTGGGAAAGTCTCCCGCGCGTTTGCAGCCACCGGAGGGTCGGTTCGTTTTCCAGCGTCTCTCCCGAGACTCACAAGACGCTGCGATCCTTTGCGGGGCGGCCCCGAGCAGATCCGGGGCGCGCACCGCGGAGGGGCGCAGGGCCAGAGCGGGGTCTGCGGTGTCCAGGCAGCGGCTCGGGCTCGGGCGCCGGGGCCTCCGCCGCACCACCTGGGCCTGGGCGCGGGGGCCGCGGGGCGGGCGAGGGCGCACACCTGGGGCGGGGGCGCGCATAGGAGGCGGCGTCTCCGCGGCGGGGCGGGCTCGGGCCCCCAGGAGAGCAAGAGCCAGAGCCGACGCGCAGCGGTCGGGACGCGAGGAGCCCCCGCGGGAACGCCGGAGAGTCCAGATTCCCCGGCGGTCGCGGGGTCCTGCCCGCCCTCGCCCCCCACCTCAGCCCCGGGTCCGCGGCCCCTCGGCGCCAGGCCCGCCCAGAGAGCGGGGAGAGTCTGGGCTCGCGGGGGGCCGGGAGCCTCCCCCCGGTCCGGGCATCCTGCCTGCCCCGCCCGCGGCCGCCCGGCTCGACGTCGGGGGGAACGCGGAAGGAGCCCCAGGACCTGTGCCCGCGAACCCGGAGCCCCCCGGAGCCGGCCCCGTGCAGCGGCCGGCAGGACCCGGCGCGGCCCCCAAGACCTCGCCGCGCACGGACTTGGGCCCCGCTCGGAGCAGGTCTGGGGTGAGCGTCCCCCGAAGCTCTGCCCGTGGCGGGAGGGCGAGCCTGGGGGCGCCGCGGACCCCGGGAGGCAGACGGGGCCCGGAGCTGCCGCCGGAGACCTGGAGCGGAGGGGGACGAGCTGCCGGCAGGACCGGCCCGGGACCCCGAGCCGCAGACGCAGCGGGGGGGGGGGGGAGCAGGAGCCCGACGCCCCACCCGCTCGCCCGGCGCTGACGGGGCCCCGCCACGGACCGCGGGACCCCCGAGCACGCCAGCGGCTGGGGCGGGGGCGGGGGGCGCTTTCTCCGCGGCGCCCGGGGAGGGGGAGCGAGGGGATCCTCTGTGCGCCCCCGGAGAGGAGAGTCGGGGTGGCCTTCAGCGGCCGGGGTGGGGGGAGGTTCCCCGCAGCAGGCGGCAGAGTCTCAAAAGGACGCTCAGAGCAGACCAAAGCGGGCGCCCAGGTCGGGAGCCCCGAACGTGGGGGACGCGGCTGCGGATCTCCCGGAGCAGCGGAGCCGCCTCCCGGCACCCGTGGGCGAGGCCCGTGGGCTGGAGAGCGAGGGTGAGGGCGGAGGAGCCTCAGGGGCGGGGGGGGGGGGCCCGGGATGTGGCCTGTGGGGGCGCCCGCGGCTGGGAGGGGCCCGGAGCCGCCCTGTGGGGAGCTGGTCCCCAGGACCTGAGCGCAGGGGCCCCCGGCAGCGGCGGTGAGGAGACCTGGAGCGGCGGGGACGGCAGTGAGCACCCCCGGGGCTGGGCGGGTCCCCCCAAGAGAGCCGAGGGTCTCAGACCTCAGAGTGCTCAACCTGGGAGTGCGGGGGGGGGGGGGGGTTGTCTTGCGCTGAGACGCAGCCCGGAGAAGACCCCGAGCCGGACGCCCCTGCTTGGGACGGCGGAGTCCCCCGAGACTGAGCAGTGGCTCCCCCTGGGGGGAGCGGGGCTGTGGGGGGCAGTCGGGAGCGATGGGGGGGGGCGTGCAAAGGAGCTGCTCGTTCAGCCTTCCGGGGTGCCCTGGCTGGAAGGAGCCGGTTTCTCGGTGTCTGCTGTGATTGTGCTCAGGTGCCGCTCACCTGAGGGTCGTGGCTGCGGGGTTCACTGGCCAAGGCAAAGCCGGGCGGGGGCCGTGGACGGAGGGTGCAGGCAGACTGCTCCTTTTGGGGTTTGCGCCGAACGCCTTCGGGGCTGCCCTGCGGCGGTGACAATGCGGAGCCTGTGGGGTGTGGGCTTAGCCTCGGCTGCCTGAGGGGGGCCCTGGGGAAGGGGCGGGATGCCTGCGCGGCTCACCTGAGCCTGGGGGGCTGCGGAAATGAAGGCTGCGGCCGAGGGCCAGGAGCAGAAGCGGACCCCCGGGGCGCAGCAGCGGAAAATAAGGGAGGGGGCATGCGGAGGGGGGGGCGGGCGGGGTCGAGGGCTCCAGGGACCCAGTCGGCCGGGCTGCGCTTTCGGGGGATCTGGCGCCCCCTACCGACACCTCTGCCGTGGCCCATTTTGTTTGTGCCGGCGTCGGCCGGTGGGGTGCGCGGGCCTTCTGGCCGCACCTGGGGCCGCACCTGGGGCCGCACCTGGAGGCTTCTCGGCTCTGCTCGGTCGTGCGCGGGCTTCTCCCCAGCAGGGATGCCGGTTGCCCCGGGGCGCCTGGGCTGGGGTGTCTGGGAGGTGATTTGCTTTTCCTGGCAGTGGGCGCGGTCCCCCGTCTGCCTGTGGCTAGAGAGGGGGTGTCTTCCCGGAGAAGTGACCTCGGGCCCCCGCCCGCGACGGCTTCGGGGCGCGCGCTGCTCCTGGAGGTGTGAGTGTGTGCGAGGGTGGAGGTGACGCCCGCGTCTGACGCAGCGTGGGCAGGTAATTTTCCATTCGATGCCCCTGTTTCTGCTTTTTCTTGTCATCTCATTCTCAGAATGCGCCTGATCATTGTCCTTTGGCAAGTGCTCTGTACTCGGGATCCCACATTTGCCTTTTGCAAGGGCGAGGTACTGAGATTTGTAGACTTCACCCTCTGACAAGAGATCCTTGGAGCAGAACTTTTGGAGACTTACTAAAATATGTCTTAATTCTCAAAATTGATACATTATTTCCCCTATGTCTAACTCCACTTTCAGGCTATTATGTTTCAAATTTGGGGGGATATTCTTTTCTTCTAGCACCCAATACTATAGTTGTCTTATATTGAAAGTTTTGTAATTGCCTTAATTTTTTCTCATTTTAAGATTTTTCTTTCTCAGCATTATAATTAAGATTTTTGCATTCATTATGCTGAGCACTTGCATAGAGTCCATGGTAAAATTCATTTTATGATATATTTCCATTTTTATTATAGAATTTCAATAAAGTAGATGATTGATACCTCTTTGTTCTACAATTTATTTACCCTGGATGTCAGGGGGAGACCGTAGAAGAGGACAGCCAAAAGGAAATCAGGCCTGAGCCAGCCACTGTGGAAAAGAAGCGCTTTCTGCTGGCTCTTGTGTTAGAAAAGCACCTGTCTGTTCCCCACTGTCAGCTGCTCCTGGGCTCTTGCAGGGGAACAGTGACAGGAGCTGCTCCTTAGACATGGGTTGGCAGCTACAGGTCCCCATCTCAGTTAACACTGTTCCCCAAGGGGCTTGCAGATGAAACAAACACGGTGCTTCTCCTAATTCTACCCAAATCCCGTGTCCCAAAAAATGAACAGGACTTCAAATACCAGATAGCCAACAACAATACGGAATGTTTCCCAATTCCTACTCCCCCAGGCCTGACACACCACAGGAGCCCCAAATTGAGGGAGACTCACAGACTCCCTCCCAAACTGAGGGCAACTGGACTCCCTCCCTGATGGGGACTACACACTCAAATGTGTATAGGCGAAGGACTTGGCCTGCACCCCTGGGGAACTGACAGCAAATGCCAGGGGATCGAGGTTCGCCACCCAGGTTCCATCTCCTCCAAGGTGAATCCAGGGGACAGAGAAGAGCTGTGTCTGTCCTGAGGAGGACTTAGGAAGTTCCCCCAGAGGAAAAAACCCCACAGCTGCTGGGACTACCCCCCCCCCAGGTCACTCCCTCTGAGCACCAGGTCAGGATGCCAGCTGGGATGCCCAGGTAACAGGGTGGCCTGGAGCAGCTGCTCTGCGGGCAACTGCTCAGTCCCCGGGAAGTCAGAGTTGGGGTTGGCAGAGCCCAAGTGGCATCCAGCTCGTGGCTCTGGCCTGCCCCATTGGTACCGACCACAGGCCTCAGTTTCCCTCAGCCAACAAAAGGAAATCAAGTTTGGGGAAAAGGAAAGTGGTTGAATTATTTGTGGACAAAGGAGGGCAGCAGACTCACGTCTGACAGACCACCACCGTCCTGCTCTGGGGCAGAGGGCAGGGGTCTTTATGCAAAAGGGGAAGAGGAGGGAGGGTCTGCAAAGGGGCCAGAGAAGTAGTTGGGGAGAGATGGGTGAGCTCCAGGCTGCTTTTTTCAGCTCCTTGGATGGGAGAAGACAAACCTGTCAAATTAGGGCAGAACTGCAAGACATGGCGGAGACCAACTTGTTCATTCCTTTCTGAGGGACTGGTCACGTGTAACTGCATCTGATGTGCTCCGGCAGCTCAAAGAAAAACCTCAGATTTATAATAAAATGCTTCTCTAGTTACGTTTCCTCCTTGATTTTTTAAGCTTGCTTTCTTTATGCATGCAAGAACTGGGGTGTAGGCCAGAGGTGCAGGGTGTGAGAGGATTCAACAGAGACAGAGTGGGGAGCAGAACTGGTGGATGGACTGAAATCCACAGCTGAGGGGGGGGGGCAGCGGGGAGACTGGGGAGGCCTGCTGCACCCTGTGGGTTGCTCCTGGTCCACGCGGGTGGAACTCATTCTTTAGGGTCTGGCCAGGGCTGGAGAGAGCCGTCTGTAACCACCTTCCACCCCGCCAGCTCCTTCCCTGCACAGGCACTGGCTGCCTGCCTGACCCAGTCCCGCCCCTAGGCCTGGGCTTCTTTGCCCTGACCGCCCTCAGCAGAGGCCTCACCACTCAAGGCCCCCACCTGGCCTGCTACCAGGAGACGCCAGGGGGGATCTCCAAGCAAAGCAGGGGCGCATGCACCCTGCCCAGCCTCCCCAGATCTCCAGCTGCTGCAGCACCAGGACTCAGAACTCTCTTAGCACCTCCCCTGGCAGACCCTCACCCACCTCCCCCTTTTTTACTCCCTTGTCTACAAGCCCCGGCCCTCAGCTCAAGAGCAGGATGGGGTGAGCAGACGCGAGGGGCTGGCTCCCCAGAGCACCCACAGTCACAGGCTTGCTTTCCCCAGCTCTGGCTCCCTGCCACTGGGGAAGAAAGGAGGCTGGAGGCGGGGTCATGGCCTAGGGGAGGTGGAAACCATGGGAAGCTCAGCGCAAACTTGAGAACCATTTCCACCTCAAAAGACACCAGGGCAACACCACAGGGAAGCCCCAGAAGTGAAAAAAGTACCTGCTCACACAGAGTCTGGACTCCAGCATCACATCTACCTTCCGCACACTCACACCTCCAGGAGCAGTGCGTGCCCCAAAGACGCCCTGGGCAGGGGGCTCGAGGTCGCTTCTCTGGGAAGACACCCCCTCTCCAGCCACCGGCAGATGGGGGAAAAGCAGGCATGAGGTGGCAGGCATGAGGGAGGCTGACTGAGGCTAACTGAGGCTGAGCCTAGTGCCCTTGGGGCTCACCTGGCCCAAGCCAGAGTCTTCCTGTTGGGCTGAGGCTCAATCCCAGGTGTTTCAGTTCATTTTCAGGCTTTCCCCTCACCTAACAACAGCAACTCAGCAGAAAACAGTCACCTTGAAGGCCTCCCTGGTTGGCCTAGGGGTTAAGGCTCAGCGCTATCACGCCTACAGCCTGAGTTCGATTCCCCACTCAGGGAGCTGACGAACATAGAGCGCAGCAGGCCTCTCTGTCTTGCCTGCTGCAGCATTATATGTTCTGTCTCTGGTGAATCCTCTCTCGCCTATCCCCCTTCCCGGGCCGCCCCTGGCCCACCCCACTCTCCTCCTCCCACCCCCCCCCAACTCTTTCCCCCACAAAAATGTACCTTGTTGGACTAACCTCATCCTCAGGATCAAGAACCCTGCCTGGGGGACAATGTCTTCAGCAAAATCCCACTCCCTTTAAGGTGAAGCCAGAGAGCGTGCAGTGCCAACAGACCTCCCTAAGCAAGGAAAGGATAAGCCCCACTTCCAACTCCAGAGCACCTGGCACAGCAAAGAATGAGGCAGCAAAGGGATAGACCCAGACCCAGGCTTAGTGAAAATGGAGATGGCTAGAGGAAGTGAAGCCTGTCAGTGCTGGGCATGTGTGGGTCAGGTGTGAGCAACAAGAGGAAGAGGAAGGCCCTTACACCGGTGCAGACAGGGCTCAAGCGGGGCAGTGGGACATTGGGTGAGGCTCCAAGGCATAGGGGAAGAGCTGGCCACCCCACCCCTACTTAACACCAGGAAAGGCTGGCCCCGGCACAAACACTTACGCCTGGGCGAGGCCAGACCTCACTGACAGCACAGGCTGCAAGAGCCAGGTCTCAGCAGTGAAATGCCAAATCCTAGTCCAGAGGACCCTCTACCACATAGTACAATCTCCCCTTTTAATTTTTATTCCACCAGATCTACGGTGCACAGATCTCAGGGTGTAGTCTTAGGAGTCAGTCTTTTTTCAGGGCTACAATGTATGTAAGAGAAGCAACAATTGGGGGGGTGCAATTGTATGGGGAATATAACCAAAATGATAATGCGTACATCGTGCAAAAAATGAAAAATGATGTAAGAATTATATAAAATAAAATATTAAAAAAAGAGAAGCAACAATTAGTCAGCAGCATTGTCCATGAAGGTCCAGTATGCCACTTTCCCATTCCTGGAAAATAGTCCATTATCCAATCCAAAAGGAAAAATAAAAAAACAAATATCTGGAGGCATTAGTCAAAACAAGACAGCAAATATATCAAAATCACAGGGGGAAAAATCTTAAAATTGGTTCAAATTATCTAATATAATGATTTTTTTTAAAGATTTTTTTATTTGTTTATTTATTTATTTATACAAGCACTGGGTACAGTCAGAAGCGCGGGAGGGTGAGAGAATCCACCAGAGCCAGAGCGGGGAGCAGAGCAGGCAGAGTGACGAAGTCCACTGCTGAGGGGAGCAGCGGGTGGCAGGAGAGGTCTGCGTGCCATGTGAGACCCTCGCCAGTGGCCAGGGAATGAACTGGCACTGCAGAGGCTGCGGGCAGCCCAGCGCTCACCTGCTGCACCTCCAGGTGAGGCCCTGTTCAAATTATCTAAAAACAAGTTCTCTCAACCTTGATCCCAAATTGTTTCAACAGCATAGCAAAAGTTTGCAAACTAAATCTACTTTTAATCCATATCGCCTATTTTTGCATACACTCCCAGGGCACAATAGCCAAACAGCAAGGGCAGCTGGCTCTGCCGGAACACTCCACATAGGATCAGAGCGAACTCTTGGCGTCCGGTCCACGTGGGCTTCAAGAACAAAGTTGGTCTCGCCAGACTCCACCTGGGCTTCCTCTTCTCAAGGGTACCAGGGCTTTTGTTTTTTCCAGGTCGTCCAGTCCTGCCCAGGGAGGCAGCTTCCTCACCTCCCTTGGTGGTCTCTGGAGCCCTATGGACAAAGCAGCAGGTTCTCCTCTTCTTGGTCCAGCTCTGTCTCAGCTTCTTGGAAGATCGCCTCTCACAGCCACACAATGACACTCCTCT